TGTTGTTCCCGTGATTACGTCATATCAGGAGGCATAAAATTACCTCGAAGTTCCTTTTTTAAAGTTACAGGCCGTATACAGGTTGTGGCAATGAACGGTAGCATTCTTCTTCAAGTGCTACCATTCATATGTAAAAGGGATAAGGACTTTTTGAACTTTAGTTTTCGTATAATGAATTGCGAATGATACTCTTCTACGAAAATAGTCTCTTTTCAATGAAAATATCACAAAATTGAATTAAATTCATTTTTAATTGAATGTAAAAGAAGAAGTGTTAATTGAATGCGGAAGAGGAATCAATACAACATCGAAATTAAAAGTAAAAGTTATCTCATCTCTTCCATTGATGCTTCTATTTATGTCGATGTAATTAGTAGCTTAGATTCCCATTCTTTAACAAGAACTTTAATGCATCCATATAATACCTCATTGCACCAGTTTAAAGTAGGAAACACAGCGTTTGAAGGCAAGATACTCTAAAGTCAACAAAACACTCTAAGGGCAACAGAGCGAAGCATAATTAAAGCAAAGAAACGAGAAGATTTTATTAATATGTTTAATATTCCAGTTTCCCACCCAATCGCTTACATATGAACTTCCAATTAGGCGGTTAAATATTTGCTAGCGACGGATTTCCCAATGCTTTTAATTAAAATGCTTCCTTTCCCTCTCCTCACTTGAAGAATCGATCAGGCGTCCGGCGATATTGTTCCATGATTAAAACAAGCGCTGATGCCTTGGCACAGGGAGATCAAACCAGTATATGATTAAGGTCTGTCTCAGATGGTTTCAGCTCGAAGGTATGGAAACGAAAGATCGGTATAATAGGAAATGAAGGCGATACTGTAGATACCAGACGGCTGTGTGAATAGAAACAGTTGAGAAGGACGACGCTCTAACAACTCCTTAAGCATATCCAATTTGTGCGGAAAACTTCCGCATTTTAATGACCGTTACAATCTTCAGTTAATCATAATTGCTATTAATTTTAAATTAAACTTCCGCCAACAAGTCTATTGAATGTCTTCTGGCTTTCTCAATTAGTGAAGCCTGGAGAGTAATGCGACATGACGTATTCTGGAAGTTGTACTTAATACTGAATATTTAGACGTGAAAACTAGCATATTAGCAATTGTTGGATACGTTTACCTTAAAATATACACTTGTGGCACTTAATTACAAATTCATAAAGAAGTAATAATTATATTAATAAAATATTTAGAGTTTCTGAATTATTAATAAACAGAATGAAAAATCGAAAGTGCTCATTTAATGCCAAGAAATTTAAACTCGTTTCTAATATATTCATCTTTAAATGACGCAGAAAGCATTACTACTATTTTTATCTAAGTGGAAGAAGTTGATAAAAGTACGTCACTTATATTTCAGATTAATGCAAAATATTGGTCTTTCATTTTTTCTCAGAATTATTAGTTTGCTGTACATGGCCCAATCATTTCTGAAAGAGAAAGAACGCAAAGATAAAAGTTTCCTCAAAGAAAGAGTATATAATATAGAAATATTATTTTGCATTTTACTTTTAATTCTATAATTTTAACGAAACATTAACTATCTGCATATACAATAAAATAGGTAATTTATTACTAGACAGCATAACTAATAGTAGTAAATGTATTTTGAAGAAAAATAACAAAAGAATATTATAAAGAAGCATTTTCATTTCCTTTTAGCTGCAGAATAACTCACATCATGGAAGATTATTTTTCTTAAAATTTCAAATTATATATGATCTACAAAACACTTTTAACTATATAAGCTATTTTTAAACACTTTTAAGAAAATAAAATGCGGAATCGGTCATTAGATGTCGAATAAATGGCAATTGTGTTTCAACGCAAATTAAAAGCACAGTTATAGCCATGCAAACTAGAACTTAAAATTGCATGTCCCAAATACTTTTGATTCACACACAGAAGACAGTATGTACAACGTAGGATGCAATCAGATGCTCTTTGTCGAAGAACATATTATAGAAAGCAATTGTACCAAAATTAGGTTTTTCCAGACTGAAGGAAAATGCCTCAAGGCATTCTAAATTTAGAAAGTACCATATACAGTATATATAGTATATAATATAGAAAGTATATAATATTAGTATATATAGTATATAATATTAGAAGGTACCATTACGATATAGATACTTCTAGAGTCGAAATTAATTGAGCCCTTAATAACGTAGTAACCCTGCTGTAGACGTCTGAAAAATGTTACAGAGATTACTTACAAATACATCAGGCGAACTCGGTCATAACGAGGGTGAAAGGATGGCGATATTTCCTCATTATAACCGACTGTTCGTATAAAAAGGGGTTCGTGTAAAAATCATAAAAATCCATACATACTTACTATATTATATATATATTTTATTAGTCCAAAGGCCAATTTGCCTAGGAGGAGTAATTTCGTTTTGGCATTTTGCGTTGAAAACTTTAAATGTCAGTTCACTTTTCAAATTGTTGTCACCAAATATTAAAGTCCTGTATTATATTTAAAGAAATTGAATAATGTAGAACCTGCATAAATATATGTATGTTTCTCGCATTGTGATAAAACAACGCTACCTAGAGCCATCAGATTTTGAATAACACACGTTTCCACACGAATATGGGCAACTGGAAGCCCAAATTGGAATTTGGAATTTGTTTTGTTTCGTTTGTTTATTTCATATTTTTTAAAAATTGTAACGAATTTTTCATTAACAAATTCAACGATTTAAAAGCGAGCAATGGCAACACTGTACGAAAAAAAAAATTATCTGCAGCGCCATCGGAGACTGTGTATCGGAAATTCTCAAGATATGCTGATTTTAAAATTATTTTGCGATATTGCTGTTAAACTGAGTTTTATGGTTTAAGTGCGAACATATGTTTAATAAATAAAGTTAATACACAGAACGTTAATTGCCGTAATTACCTTTGGGCATAATGTAAAATATTCTTCTTAAATCTGTTTCTTCTTCTTATTATTATTATTTTTCTGTACAGTACAAAAGAAAGGTGGTTAATTTGCTTTGTATTATTGTCTCTTTCTTGTGTTACTATTCTTCGGAGAAGATTCATGGCTCGAAAAACATCATTATTTGCACCACTAGCTTCGAAAATGTTTTGAAGATTTTCTGAGCACTCAAAAGACATTGAGTACGGTGTTGGGAGTTCAGCTTGAAATTCTTCACATTCGTCATTATCATCTTCTCTTTCATTACTTTTTAATCTGTTTTAGTTTAAATTTCAGTTACAATATTCTCGGGAGTAAGTATATCGAAAGTGATAACATTGACGTCAACAGATGTATAATTTTCAAATTCTTCTCTGCTTAGATAATTTCTAAAATATCTAAGACGTCTACTTCATCTTCTTCTTCAGTGATCTGACCCTCTTGAGAAATGTTCATTCCAGCCTTACAGAAGCAACTGGTAATGCATTTTGATGCAATGTTTTCAAATGCTTCGTTCCTTAAACATATCACTTCTGGTACTTACACTAGTATTTGAGATTGTTTTTTCTCTTCGACAGAGAAGCATCAAAATCAAGTGCTTATGAAAGTTTGATTGAAAACACCTCATGATCACTTTGTCTACAGACTGGATAACACTTGTAGAATTCGTTGGTAGCAATTCAATCATAATCATTCCCTAAGATAAAAAAGGGCGTGGACCAAGTATTCGCAAGATTTATGACTCATCACTAACTTTCATTCACTTCGGAATATTTAAGAAATCTTTCCAAGAAAGGATTAGCTAAGCTCGAGAGGTGGAAATCAATAGAAATTTTATGAGTCACAAAAATGCAGATCACTATATCCGGGGTATGCTCGTTAAAAGCAAACAAGTATTTTCGATTTCCTCGTTAAATTCGGGTTCTTGTTAAATCAAGGCTCGTGATAAGAGATTTGTATTATTATACCATTAGAAAGACGTGTTATTTGAACCAGTACTTTATCGCATCAAAATATTGGAAAGCTTGGAAAAAAATATACAATCAGTTTCTTTAGAATTAATCCAAAATTCATTTTATGGGCAACAATTTTGGTCACGAAAGCTAAGGCAGCTACGGATTAAAATGCATTAATATTAACCGTGTAGAACCATTCGGTTATTTTTAAAGCAGGAGTGATGAAAAATGAGCAACGTCATCGCCGGGAATCGAACCACGGACATCTGCAATATGCGCCCGCATGCTTACCGCAACACTACGAAGGCATGTTAAGAAGGCGGGAGAAATACCTTATATACTCCCCATTTTAAAGGGCGGCTGGGGTTTTTACGGGACCGAATCGCCAAATCCTGGGTGTGGAGAATCATCGTCCCCCAACCTTTTAGTTCGGGCGCCACTGTAGAGTCATTAGGTTATTTTTAAAGCAGGAGTGATAAAAACTAAGCAACTCCCTGGCCGGGAATTGAACCACGGACCTCTGGAATACGCGCCCAGCGTGCTGACTACTACACTATGAAGGCATGCTAAGAAGGCAGTAGGAATACCTTATAACCGAAGGTAAAACTTCTCTAATGTTCTAATGATATTATTCAGAAGGAGGGAACTTGTCAAAAAAGAGAAGACGGTAATGAGTCTCTGACATCTTTTCTCTCTGACACCTTTTCTTAATAATTTAATGTGGTATTATCTGACACGTTTTACTTACGCCTGCCATTCCTCCTTCAGATAAAATTAAAAATTACTTTTAATGTATCCGTGATTTTAACCAAGAAAGAAACTTCTAATACCATGCTAGAGTTTTGAAGAAAAAAAAAATATGTTAAAAGGCTTTTTTAATAGCAAACTAAAATAAGTTATACATGATATTCTATACAGTAAAGTTCAGTACAGTCTCTTTTGTTCATGTACTATTTGTTTAATTTATGCCGATTTAAAGACTTTTCTTTGTTTCAATGGCCAAAAATGTAAATGCCCATTTAGAAGAAACTAGTAGCATAAAGATTAAAGTTTCTCAAATGTTCTGAATAAATATTGCAGAGAACTTACAATGTACGTGTAGCATTACTTTTCTGACAGCAGTTGGAGGAATTCCATTATTAGCAATACACAGGTAGGTCCCCATATTCAGTCGGCTAACTTTGATTATCGTCAGGTCGGCACCTTCAAACAGAACTTCTAAAAAAGAAAAGAATATATGAATTTTCGAAAAACTGTTATGCCTATTAAATATCAATTAAGTTATTCGATTTAAAAATTATCTAATTCGTCTCAATGATTTATGAAATATAAATCCTTCTGTTTCTTAATACTTATAATTTTGCAATTGAATTTAAATATGTCAGTACTTATTTAAAGAGTAGTTTTACAACAGGATTAATACTAAGATTAATGAGTCTAAAAATGTCTTTGATATTTATCACCTTCGCTAACTAAACTGTGATATCCACAATTTGCAAGCTAGAAAGAAAAGCGATAATCATAAAAACACAAAACAATGTTTTAAGAGAACACAGTATAATCAAAATATAAAATTTAATACAGAGTAACAATATTATCACACTAAATTACAATAAATAAATAAATAAAAACAAAAACACTCATTCGTTTTAGTGATAATACTTCGATTATATTTCTTCGAAGATAACCTGAAACTTCTTTCCAAATGTAAACTTTATTTCAAAAAATAAATGCATTTATTGCGTGCGCCTGTTACTTTCATTTAAAAAAATTACAAGGCTATCGTATCCTTATCTGACATTCATTGCTGTTTGGGAACGAGCAGTACTGCAGCAGTAGCATTTAGACTGTCCTTGACTATGTATTCTTGCAAACAACCGATACTGTGCTATCATTAAGGTATTTTCCAGTTTCAAGCCAGACAAATTAGGAAACGATGAGGTCCACAGGCATCATTATTAAAAATACGAGATAAAAATTTCACATTCTGCTTGTATTGATTGATACTATTACTAATCTTTCTGATCTGTAACGTAGCCAGATTAGCTCCACGATTTTTATCAGGGCCAAAACAGAAAAAGATTTTTTTCTGTCTTTGGCTTTTGGTCGCTTATAGTATCAAGATAACTTTGCTCAGCTCCGTGCCAGTGTTGATGGAGCTCATTTCGGGGGACGAATCCAAGTGTCTCTTATTCCCTCTTTTTCTATTACCAACTTCTTGAGAGAACTACCAGCTGGACAGTATTTTAAATACTCCATACCGTAGAGACGCCATACACTTACCAACATCCATGCCTTCGCCGTGGTCCAAACTCAGGCCTAAGGCTATGGCATCCGGCTTTCCTATACCCATGTAAATAGGATTCTTGGCAGGTTAATTTGAAATCTTAATTATGGTCGAAAGTATAGTGGTACAATATAGAGTTTATCTGGATCTTGAGTAATTCAATAAATTTATAACTGGGGAAAGGAGAAAAGCTGTTCTAGTCCGGTAAGAACACTGGAGTATAAAACACTGAGATTAAGATTAATAGTATTAGGAAATACAAGCACCCGGTCTGACAGTATTATTTTTTATATTTTGTTGCTTCGGAAAGTTTCAATTTTGATGTGTTCGGTGATGTTGAAAACGAAGTTTGCTTTCAGGCTATTGTATATTTCAACACAAAAGGGAAGGAGTGGCATCTCGTTTCTGTATCTCTTCAGGCGTGGGATTTTGTGTACTTTGAATCCCAAGACATCGATCGCATTCCGTACGACGTCCATGGGGCAAGAGAGTGAAGCCCTCTAACAACTAATTTTAAGGGTCTGTCGGCTTTAAAATTTTACGATTTCGACATTCTTTCTACACAAAAAAAGCGTGCTAACGCGCATTAATAAGCTTCTTCAGATATGACAACTTAAAGGTAATCTCTTTCTTGGAAAGAATTAATAGATGGAGCAGATTTTCTTAACTATTGAATTAGAAAAAAAAAAAAAAAAAAAAAAAAACAGTCTACCACAGATTGTATATAACAAGGGGTGGAAGCTTAGGTGAAGAATTATCAGCAGACTGCTGAAAGGGAATTGCCGCCAAATCTAAAGCGTAAATGAATGGTTGAAATTGGTTATATGAAGCAACAAGGCTATTTTAAGTAGGAATCGCACTATTATTATGTGATACTTTTCTTAATCAGATGTTTTTCAGTTTCAATAAAAGGAATTTGGTTTGCAATTTTACGTTTCTTTTCATTTTCAGGGTTATTGGTGTTTACGGTCGCCATATCGGGCGTTTTAGAATTGCTACTTTCATCTGGGATTGATTCAGAAGAATTTTGACTTAAAAAATTGGATGACAGAAAAATTTGCTTTATTATGAATTTCCGGAAATTTAGCAAATTATTTCTTCCTGACTGGAAGGCAATGAAAAGAGAAGAGTGTCTATTCTGTCACAATGCTGCGTGGGCGTTTCAGACGGGGCTGATGAATACTTCTCGTCATTCTCAATATCGAAGCAGCGACTACACTGGATCTAGAACTATACACGGTGAAACTGAACAAGGGAGCAAAAGTTTACCGGGTGATAGTCCGCAGCCATACAAGCAATATGCGTCATATAAAGTTTGGGCGGAACGCAAACTTGATCTGCTAGGTGAACAAAGGTGTTAGGTGCTTGAAACTAACTTGAGCTGCTAGGTGGCATTGTATATGGTATAAAAAGGGTCGGTACTCGCACCCAATGGCTTTTTCTACCGTAGATTGCTCAGACGATGCTTATACGAACCACGAAATTTCAAGGTTGATGAATTGGTCAAAGTGGTCGCATAGTCTGGCCACCAAGATCATCGGATCTCACGTGTTTGGACTTTTCCTGTGGGGCCATATGAAAAGCCTATTCTATGAATGCCCCGTTGAAACGAATATGGATCAAGTCATCAGGTTGTTGATGGCGATAAACGTTGATGATGATTGTTTGTTGATGGCGATAAACGTGAATTGTCTGCTGTCTTCGCAAATGTGCTTCCTTCCATGTCTGCGAGTGGGAAGCCTGCATTACAGCTGGCGGAAGGTCTTTTGAGCTATTTCTTTGAACATGTGATTTGAATCAATTATATTTCTATTAATAAAATGTATTCTGAAGTATCCCCTCTCATTCTTGTGTTAATTCTTTAAATGTTTCAGTGAAAACTACATTTTAACTTCTAACCTTTTGCGTTCCGACCACACATTCTATGACGAATATTGCTCGTTTAGCGGAATTCTATCACCCAGTAAAGTTTTACCCTTTTGTTCAGAATCATCCTGTATATCAGTACGCTGTTTCTACAGATCATAAATCTTTGTTGCTTTCGCAAAATCTACAGGTGAAGGAGCTGTTGAGGAACTTCAGAGTCCGAAATAGTGATGTTTAGAAACTCATTAGACGGGTTAACATCATTCATCATACCATTAGATATAGCTAGCTCGTTATTAGTGGGATTAGCGCGTTTAAGCACAGAGCTTGACATACAAAAGGATATTAAGATAGTATAAATGTTAAAAATGATCATTTAACACGGGAGCGCGCGCTCTCTTTTGAGTTACAGGAGCGCGCACCCTGGGTCCAAAAGACCCGGGTCGTGCTTTTTGAAGAAAAAACTGTTACTCTTCAGGTAAAAGTACTACATTTATGACAACATTTGATGCTCAAACTTAAAAAATATTCAAACTATAAAAATTAAAATTTCAATTTTAAGTTCCATAATATTTTTATGAAATAAAATATTTTTTATAGAATAGAAAAACGTATTATATTAATATAGAATTTATTAGGAATTCATTTGATTATTATTCAGGTTATTCAGAAATTATTATTCAGGTTTATCAGGAATATACTGCCTGAAAGAACATCTTCCTCGGACAGCTTCAAATTTGTCATCAATTGTTATGAATTCACCAACAGTGTAATATTTATGGCAGTTATCTACAAAATCTTAAAAAAATCTCTTATAAGTGAAAGTTTATCTGATTATTTCTTGACGGCGCGAGTTCCTATGTCATCAAAATGTAAACATCTTGACAAAAAAGAAAAAGTTTGTAGGACATAGTTTTGTCGACAAATTTCCAAGCCGGTTCCGTCTGTTGCCCACAGATCCCGCACAGTTACATGAGATGACTTATGTCACAAAAATAAAGCACGAATTCTAATTAGAGTTGTGTGAAGAGCATTTCTCTATCTTTCAAAGCTGTCAGAAATAGATGCAATATAAATACTTTTTTAACTGATGACTTTCGGCAACATTTGTTTACTTAGTAAATGTTCCCACGATACATTTGGAGTCTACTCATATTTTGCCTTACCTATGTTTCCGGACAATTTAGTAATATTATAAGTAGGTGTTCTAACATCAACTTCAGGCTTTTTTTTACCATTAGGTTTTTTGTCTTTTCCAATAAAGCAAAAAATGTTATTTTAATTTTCGTTTTTAGAATGAATCTCGATTTCTGAGTCAGTATCATGAGAACTGTTAAGAAAATTCATTATAACTTTCATTATCAGTTTCTTCAATGGAGTCTTCAACAGTTGATACATCTAATAATACATATCATTTCTTCCTTATAAGATAAATTACGCGGCAGGTTTGCAGTTTTCCGTTCTACCACAAATGAACTACGCTACAGCAATGCGAATAGGCGCGCTGTGTCTGAAAGACCGATCCGATTAAAACGAAACTTCGAATCAAATTTCCGGCAAAAAACTTCGGCAACATAAAGAGGATGGCCTTCGAGGAGACTACACTGACTCACAAGCCCTTGGGAAGAATAGATACGTTTTCAGAAAGGTTTCTTTAGTCAGGTGGGTCCTTTGGACCCAGCGCGCGCCCTCGAGGGTTAAAATTGAGACAACATAATTACACTGGTGTGCAAAAATTAAGGATGAGATGGTTTTTTCAATATAACTTTGTACAAAAGCTTTCCAAATCAACACATTTAAGACCGTAAGATCCCCAATACGTAAGGACATGAGTAATGTAAGCAACACTTACTAAAAGAGAAATCAGAGGGATAAAAAGAAGCTTTATTGAAAACGTAGCATGGAGCGCAATGACTGAAGGCCGAAACATCCCTGTGATGGGTGTCCAGCAAGAAACATCCGGTCTTTAATAGGGGATATGATCTCCTCTGACTGCTAGGCAGGTTTCACAGCGTCTGCCCATGCTGAGAATGAGGGTGTCAATGAATTGTTGAGGCA